CTGTTTTTTAAGAGAAAGAACCGCGATAAAATTCCTATGTTGAAACAGATACGTGAATCAGATGATTCGGAAGTTAGGGATAAAGACAAATTGCAAAAAGAGAAGGGAAAGGAATATAGTGATCGGAAGAGAAGAGCAGAGGAGCCAGGTATATGTCAAGGGGATAAGGTTTATTTGAAAGAAATAGAAAAGACAAATAAGCTTTCAACTAATTTTAATCCCGAATCTCACGTAGTTGAGAAATTGGTTGGAGGAGACATTACAGTAAGAAATGAAGAAACAGGACAGAAACTTAGAAGAAATATTGTGCACTTAAAAAAAGTAGAAGGTCAGTGGCAAAGTGTTCCAAATGATCTCATCCCAGCAGAAGATTGTGTAGTTGATGAGTAGGTTCTCCAAAGACATAGTTCTGAGATGTAATTTGATATTTTTTCTATTAGTTATTAAGTAATAATTAACTGATTTTAGATAAGTAATAATTGTTTTAATTTTTTTTAATTCGATAATAAAAATTGTTAAAAAGGAAGGGATGTAGTGTTTGTATCTCCAAAAAGGTCATACTAACATTGTCTCATGTACACTAGTAGTCGAAGTATAGCTGTCAATCTGTCACTTCTGGCAGTCTGTCACTGACACTGGTTAAGGTTGGACTAGTGCTGCTTGCGATACAAGTGTAGTGGTGAGCCAGTGCATTACCGGTTTTACTGTAATGACAAGGGTCCTTACACTTACCATCAGCTAATCCGCTTGCTCGTTTGACGACCGAACCCATAAAAAATTAACCTACAGGACATTTATTGCAATTCTTCAATGAGCAACATTAAGTAGTAACAGTAGGTAGCAGGTAGCAGTTGTTGGTCACGAATCCTGTCAGTCACAATATTATTATTCACACTTATCACTTAAGGCAAAGAGAAACTATATTTTTTACCAACCTTAATCGTATTCAAAGATACAAAAGAGTACTTGAATGATTATATTTTTAAACCAGATACACCTGACGACCCCATACCGTTTCAAACGTTTGTTTTTGTTCAAACGTTTAATGCCAATCACAAAACAGTTTACAGAACTTTGATGAAAAACTAAAATGGGAGCCCCATATTACATCTCTGGTAGGACGATTGAGCTTTGCAACGTTAGCTGTTAGGAAGATCCGACAGCTAACAGATGTGGACACTGCAAGACTGTTGTACGTCAGCTACTTTCAAAGCATTATGTCGTATGGCATTTTGATATGGGGAACAGGCTGCTGACATTGCGTCAGAGAAATATTTTAGAGCAAAGTTTATTGAGATCAATATTATGACGGTGCCGTGTCTATTTATTTATGAAACATTATATACGTTAGAAGAATCTTACAATTAAGTGTCTGACAGATATTATTATCAAACTAGACATACAGAAAGATTATGTTGTCAGCTAATACCTAATTAGATTTGCAAAGGTACACAAGTAGTTTATGGGATTAAGTGTTAAATTTTATAAAATCTAGGAGAAATGCAATACTTACAAATACATTTTAAATAATGTATAAAGAAAACTTTTTATTGGGCAAGCATATTACGAGCTGAATGATCATATTGACGATAGAAATGCTTGGATTCTGGTTGGTCTTGCTCTTACGCTTGATAAATTAATGAAAATTGAATTGAAATGCTTAATGTCTGTAACAGTTTGTGTGTAACACTTTGGAAATAGCAAATAGTTTCACTAAGAGAAATTACCGATAAACTGTTGTTTTTTATCTTTAAATCTTTGACGTTTAAAACTGTCTAAAAATGATGAAATAAATGATTTGACTTATACCTACTTTAGGTAAGAAAATATATTGTTTCAGGATATTTCTTAATTTTTTTTAATATTTTTAACCTTAAATTGATTTCTTGGAATATTTCAAGATAAAAATTAAACAATTCCAGCCGTTTTAGAGTTTAAGCGAGGTCAACGATTGACATTTTTTTAACATAAAAATGTATTTAAGATTGAGGATGTCTTGTAAAAACATATTTAAGTTTATCGTGAAAAATCATTGTGTATTTTATCAATACTTAAAAACGTAAAACCGATTAATGCGATTTTACTTAATTTCACTGCTGAGTTGTAACAGCTGAGACAATTCTATCGAGGCCTTGCCCAAAGGATTTGCATAAGATTGGATTCGATTTATAATTAATACGCTTGGGAAAAAAACTAATGAATGAATCTGTAACAAACGTAGTCCTTTATTTTATGAAAACATTTTTTGAAGGGGATAAGTCGGCAAACGAGGAGACACATTTCCTAATGGTAATAAGCAATTAGCACCGCCCATGTACATTCACAATTCCAGAGAAGTGGCCAGTGCGTGCTTTTAGGAACTAAGGTTTCGTAGATTTAGGGGAAGGAGGATTGGGCCTTCGTAAACCTCAGTCATACTGCGAAGTGATGTGAGGACGTGGTATAACTCCGGTGGAAAAAAACAGTTCGTAGTTGTTCGTCTTTCTACTAAGCATGGCTCTGACGCACTTGAATTCAAAAATATATGAACTTCTAGAATAGCTTCAAACTAGTTGAGTTATATCGCCAAACAGTTTCATAAATAATTCGAAAAATATGAATATTTAATTAGCTTTCAGTGTTATTCATTATCTAAAATGATGTCAAATTGTTTGCAAAGCAGTCACAAATTTAATCTGTTGGAAATATTTCATTTTATTATTATATAAATAATCTCTACATATTTTATAACAGACATGAGATTGATGTTTAACGCTTTATACCAACCTAATATAATGCTTTAACTAACTATTACTTTCCTGCAATTTTCGCATTCCATTAACAAAAAGTCCTTAAACAGAAAACCTTCCCACTTTACTTTGGTGTATTTGTACCCATAACTGGTTGCCAAATCGATCATATCATGTCTTACTTTTTATTATACCAAATTCCCTATCACTTAAAAATCCTTGTTAATTACTACCGCTGCCTTTGTAATCGTACTTTTAATGTAAACCTGATAATCAAACCAATCATATTTCTATTCAAGTTTCTAACGGATTACCGTCTCCATCAGCCCATTAACCAGTCAATGCCGACTTAAAAAGTAGATTAAATGGCTGAAGATTTTTTCCATTTTATGAAATACGTGTTCCTACTAGCAATCCTTCACTTTATGAGGCTTTGTTTTTTGCCTTTAGATTAGATTTAAATGAATCATGTTTTATAGGTCTTGAGTAATATCATGTTATGTTCTTTTTGCTAGTAAACCTTAGTACTAAATTATTTTTGATAAATTTTGTTTTGGCGGCAAACGATTATTTAAAATTGTAGTACGAGCAGACGGAATGCGTGATAGTAAGCAAATGGCGCCACCAGATTATTTACAAATGAGTTGCCGGCCTTTTGAGGATAAGGGTTTCCGATATTTGATGATTTTGGAAGTGGAAAATGGATTCGCCTAAACGGCAAAACACATTGTTTTATATCGGTTTTCTGGAGGACCGTGGTATCATAAGCATAGGTCTCCCACAGATCCAGATAGATCAGATTTGGTGATCCCACAGAAACCCTTGCTTTTGAAGATCACGTTATTTTATCATCATGGTACAGTTTGGGACGTAGGCGTAACTAAGTTGAATGCGTTCGTCAGGGAAACCGGCATCAATCATACAAATCGGTGTCATAGTAAGGTACGATTGATGACTATTTCTTGTTAGATTGATGTCAGGCCATAATCCATCTCTAGAAACATGTTCGACGATAGGAATTGATTATTGTTGTGTAAAGTCAGTACCATTTTAATTTTAAAACTCTACTAGTTCAATGAATTTATCTTGACAACTTCTATACTCTTTAGTCTTTTTGGTGCCCTAAACCGTCGAATTCCTAGCCCCTATAATGTCGGTACTAGAAACTTCCCTGCTGTTCCGGATATCTAAGGACGGCGCCGATTGCTTATCGTAAGGTGTGTAAGGCATGCTCGTTTGCCGACATATCACAAAAAATATCCTTAGGTTGATCAAGCCTATTTGCGCTGATGCTTTACTGAAAAATATTAGATATTATATTTAATATTTTTAGTGAGCCCACGCCGTTACCATACCTAATCGTAACTAGGGCAATAAAATAATGTAAAATGTCGATAAATTCATCAATCGTTGGATTCTAAGACTATTTTGTCAATGTGGCTAATAGGAAATTCATTAGTCACTTGCACAACTTTCTCAAGAAACTTTATATTTTATACTTATAAATAGTTACACTGTCAACCTCAATCAATTCAATCCCATTCACAGATTGCCAAAAAGTAACTTTCATTTGGGCCAACTCAACTGGGCCTACTTTAAATATTTCAATTTAGAACCATTTCCTAACCAAATCTTTATAAAGCCCAATCCGGCCTGTCGTAACCGGAGGCCCAATCCTTTCCCTTTCTCTAATCCCTACCCAATCCCTAAATCTCCAAAAGCCAACCACTCGTAACGCGGCGTTGATTGCTTACCATCAGGTATGCTCGTTTGCCGACCTATCATATAAAAAAATATATTTATTTACAGCTAACAGATTAATGCACTGCTCTGTATAATGCCCAATCTTTTAAGACAGTTTTATGTCAACCTACCTAATTACGGTGAAGCGTCATAAAAAAATTACTCAAAAAGGGACATTTTATTATGTAGATAAAACATGGGTCTAATCTCCCTCCCTATTTTAATGAATACATTATACGAGTTTAAAATATTCCAAAAATGAATCCTTCATGTACCCTATTCAAAATAAAATGAAGTCTGTATATCATTTTGATATACATCCTATGTTGCTTTGATGAAAGTGAGGAAAAAATTACGATTTAAAAATTTAGCTTAGCTTTTTGTTTAGACTAGATGGCGCTTCCATCAATTAAAGTCTAAGAGACTAAATCTTATTAAAAAACGAAATATCTCAACACAAATGAGTTTTAGATATCCGATTTTATGCTTATGGTTTTATATGCGATAATAACAACGAAAAATACTTACTTTTCTCTTCGCTTCTATACTCTTGTCAATATGTGTTGATCTGACAACATGTCTAAACTCCAAATCGACGGTGTGCATACAATAGGACTGAGTGCTATTGTTGTCCACGTCCAATCTTGCCTCCGAATCATCCTGTCAACAAAATATGAGCCAATTAAAATAGACATCCGAAAATTTTGCGATATTGTGGAAATAAAATTATTTAAGGCGAGCACATTCATATAATATAAGGGGAATAGCAGTGTTGAGAGATAGTAATAGGGATTCAAACCTCATCATACGAGATTATTGCGTTGCATGCGTTCACAACTACAGATAATGCTGCAGATAAACTTACAAATCCAATTTTCGAGGCGCTTTGTGTATCCGAAGTCGAATTATGGCGACGATATATCGGTTAATGAGTTCAAATAATTAACAATATATGATAAAATCAATATAAATCGAAGGTTTATTAATGTTCCAGTTTTACCGAACAGATTTTAAACAATAAATTAACTAGTTTGTCTGGTACATAATGAAAAAAAGAACATACTTTTGTTGGCTACAAATAAGCTTTTCAATCGACTCTTTGAGATTTAAACAATGAAACAATAAAAATCCGTTCGCGTGGAATAGTGACTTTCTGCAGATTTTTGCTAAAATAAACTATCCTATGTCCTTTCTCGAGTTTTAAACTATGTCTGTACCAAATTTCACAGAAATAAATTCAGTAGTTTAGACGTGAAGAAACTACAGACAGACAGACAGAGTTATTTTCGCATTTATAATATTAGTATAGATATCAACCTAGTGGTAAGCAATCATCTGGTCGTGGTATATGACTTGCCGGCCTATTCGGGCTCTAGCATGGCTCTCCCATACTTGGACATTGAACGTTTGTCTAACTATCCAGAATATAAAATAAAACAACAGAAAATTAGAATAACAGCATATGAACAATTGTACCTAACCATCAGTAATTAGTTTCGTTTGCAGGTACCGTACAAATTTGTACCTCCAAATTTCGAAATCATATTCACATCCAACCACTAACATTATCGAAACATGATAATTAATGGCGTTGCTAAATTCACTGCTTCGCTAAATTAGAGGAATTAAAAGGATATTAATCCCATATATATAATTTGACTCATTTTCAATAACTGGTTATAATTTTGGATAGATAGGGTTATATGAAAAATAGTCATACAATTAATTTCATGGATAGTAATGAGTGCTGCCCATTGACGCATTTGGAACTGTATATTTCCCATTTATTCAAAATCTTTATTGCGAACTAAGTGTACACATAATTTTGTAGATATTAACAATTATTGAAATATAATTTTTATGTTTATGGTGAAACGTAAATGGCAACAGTTTTGTACATTTTGAAATTGATACATTCGAGTTTGGCTCTCATTGCCAAGTTAGCTATAGCTGTATTTACAGGGTACAGCGACATTTGCCAAATTATGTCACTGTTTATGCGAAGTAATCCTGGTTCATCCATTTGCGGTTAAATGATGTATGCACTGACAAATCTACTTACATTAATATAAATACAGGATTAATAGAAAATTATGCAGGGAATCTCTTGAAGTATGAATTGAACTAAAGAGGGGCAAATAAGGAAGCTCATTTTTGTTTTGTTTAGCAATTTGTCAAGACATGTTTTTTTATTTGGGGGGGTATAATTTTTGGCATTTTGGCACTTTCTGATGATAGTTTATTAGTAGTAGATACACACAAATTTGACAGTAATCTAAATGAAATGTTCTAAATTTTCAACATCATCTATCCAGTAGTCGTAAAAGCTAAGCTATTAATTAATGTTGTATATGTTACGGCTAAAGGTCGGTGTGAACGTAAACTTAAGATTAGCCGGCTAAACTTAGGTTTATCTTCGAGAAGCAGCTAACGTTCGATAACATGTTAGTTTGCGTCGTGATATTCCATCTTTAGCCGGTTAATGTGCACATTAACCGAAACGAAACGGCTAAAAATGTATTCGATAGGCGTGCCGGGCCGGCGGAAGGCTTCTTCTATGCAGTTGGTTGCGCGTATTTGCAATGTCGGCGTTGCAAAATCTCGTAACGCTGAAAACGAAGTTTAACAGTAAGTTTCGTGAGTTACTAACATCAAAACGAACTAATAATAGTTTTTATTTGAGTGACAAGAAGTCAGGTCAGCAAAACTCGCCGCTAAGCGTTCAACATTGCAGTATCGACGATTAAAAAGATTTGATATTTGCACTATTGGCGGCATAGAAAAGCTAATGGCACCAGTGGCAGGACAAGGCAATAGTATCTTGTATTATGTGAAAAATTCAGACCTGTTTGATGTGTTGCATACCATTCACATTGATACGGGTCATGGTGCATTGATTCCTTTTTCATTTCCTTCTACATTTTTAGCCAAGGACCTGCAGCTACACCTAAGTTTAGCCGGCTAAAGATAGAACAAACTAACATTAACATTTCGTCGAAGATAAACCTAAGTTTAGCCGGCTTATCTTAAGTTTAGGTTCACACCTACCTTTAACCGTAACATATATACAAGAATGCGGATAGAGACTAGGAGACTCTTGTCAAAACTCAGAAACTTTGTCACTCACAACATACTCTAGTATACCTTTACGCGAATCTAGTTATTTGACGGTGATTTGTTTTCAATTTAATGCTTATATGATAAAATAATTCTTGTTAATTTGAGTTTACTTAAATGTTTCTCTGCAAATGTAAAAATACTATTGCTGACTAAAATCAAGCATTGCCCAAGCTTCGGCGGCAACTGGAGTAATAGAATGTCCCAACGGCACGGGCTCAACTAGCTACAAGTCACAACAGGACTCTCATCATTCATGGACAGAGTGCGCGTCGCGGCGTCGTCGATTTTCAATAAATGTTGTATATCCCATTATTTATTCAAAAAAAGGAGCTTTATACTATAACTTAAGTTTTATTCTTAAAGAACATATCTCTTAGTTGTTCTATATGTGGGTAACTAGGGAAAGAGAAATTGTTGCAGACTATACCAACAATAAACAATTTCAAAGTTCTCAAGTTTTATGCACTTGGACGGATAAGGCAAGTTTTGTAAACTGTGATATCATTAAACTACCAGTGGAAGCTGTACACTGAACAAAGTTTGACCCTGTTCTTAAACTCTGTACTTTTTGGCGCTACTGCTAGTAGTCATTTAACTTTTAATATTGTTTACTAAGTTATGCAAATAAAATCTTATCTGCGTTGCAGTTGGGAAAAAGTAATATTCTTCATTTCTAAGTAAGTATTCAAAGGCATTTAAGTGTGGGAGAGCCATGCTTCAGCACGAATGGGTCGGCTCGGCATGATACCACGGCCTCATAGAAAACCGGCGTCAAACAACCACAGCGTTGTATTTCGCCGTGTGAGTGAGGTTACTATCCATCCCATCCCCCAATCCCTAAATCTCCAAATCCCTAATCCTCAAAACGTCTGCAACGCACTCGTAACTCCTCTGTTGTTGTGGGTGTCCATGGACGGCGCTGATTGCTTACCATCAGGTAATTCGTCAGCTCGTTCGCCGATCTATGACATAAAATCAATTATATTACTGTTGTATTTCAGTTACAGCTTGTTAATAGTTGAGACTCCGTAACCCTCTTCAGGGGTATATTACGGAAATAATTATAATAATCAGCAATTATTATTAATTTCCGTAACAATTAGCGAACAATTTTGTACCTTCGAAATCTTGTAATGATGTTCGCACCCAAACCACTAGCATCATCAAAACATGATAATTAATGGCCTTGCAGAATTAACTGCTACGCTAAATTAGAGAATGTGAATATGAACGTGAAATGTTTGAGTATTAACCTGGTAATGCGCCAAATCATTAAAATATGAATGTTCCTTTTATTCACATTCCTCTGAAATATGTAAATCATGCTTTTTGACACATTGAGCCTTTTTTATTTATTTATTATTTATTTGTTGCGCCTTTTTAAGCCATTTTTATTTATTTATTTTTTTGTTGTGGTGGTGGTGCCCAGATGTTATGGCGCCCCCTACTCATGTATGAGGGTCCGGAACCTGCCAAGTACCAATGTGGCTTTTTAGAGTTATATTTGGTGGAATGGTGAAAGAAAACCTCGATCGTGAAGAAACCTGGACTTATAATTTAAATTATTAACAAGTTTGAAATCGCAAATCCACTCTAAGCGACCGTAGTGATTAATATTCAAACTTTCTCCATGAGAAAAGAGGCCTATGCTCAGCAGTGGCCACTTATAGGTTGATGTTGTGATGTGATTTATTCTACAAATGCGATTGTTTAACATCTGCAAATTGGAGGAGGCCTTTCTACCAGAATTTTAGGTAGTGCAGAGACGTTAGTGGTAGGTAGTATGCAGCAATATAAGAAATTATGGCAGGTAAATATTAACAATATATTAGTGAATATAAATATAAAGTAATACATTATCATAAATAATGAGATAATAATAAAATCACACATTGTGTAGTGAATTTGTGTGAAAATGAAAAATTATAAAGGAAGTAGGGATAATGCCATTTTATACTAATGTGCTTACGTTCCACTTGTAACTCAAGCGGCTGGTTGAAGCTCTGATATCGAAGGAGGGAGTGCCATAAAAAATTACTTGTATGAAGACAGAGCAATAAGTTCACAGATCAGGCAAAAGTCAATTGAGCGAGGAGCGTTATTGTCCAATGTGATTCTCGTACACATACTGGAAATGTCAAATAGTTGGGTTCAAAGGAAGTGTCAAAAAGAGAAAATAAAGTAACAAGTTCTTTGCGGCCGGCGCAAAACTACTTAAATATTTTTAATTGTTAATCTTATGATAAAAAAACGTATCATAGATAAAAAAATGGGTATCACCTAGTACTACAAGTACCATTAAGTACTAAGTCACTATTTGGTTACTTGTAGGTTTTTTTTCTGTCTTATTTATAAAATGAAGCGGCAATCGTGCAGCCTTATCACTCTATGGTAAGAAATCTGCGTCGGCCGCATTTATTTTTGGAGCTACAAGTATCTTGAAGGCCTTTTGGGGTTGAAAGATTTGTGAAACAGGATGAGAGAATAAGGCACATATTCAGGTAACCATACTACAAATGACTGTGCAAGTCTTGTTTGAAGCCGGTTTTCTTAGAAGCCATGGTTCCCCTCCGGCGTTTTTTGGCGAACCATGACCCTCCCACACATGTGTGTTTTTAGTATTTACCCCTTGATGTAATTTTGTAAGAAAGAAGGTGGATGAAGGGTAAGGGATCAAGTTAAGTAATATGCTATATCTTAACGTATTTATTTATTTTAATAAATATTTGGAATCTTCACTTACCTTCGGAAGTTTCTTCGTATACCACTTTTTGCAGCAAATCTCTGCTGAGTTGCTTTTTATCATTGGTGTTGACGGTATCAGATGATTGCTCTTGCAACTGGTCACTGTGGACAAAGGGAAAAAATTTTAAGAAGAGTATTAAAAAATACGAATTTAAAAACAAAACGGTTTATTGGCAGTTATTTTTCAAAAGTCTAAAAACTTGTATGTGGGCCAATCCAGGATTTGTTTGACGTGATCGACCGCCAAATTTGTACTCCCGCTCTGGGTGTGGTGAGAGAGAGTGTCAGACTCCTAGTGACTAAATACCACCACTTCCCTTCTCCTGCTCCAGGACGGGGCCGTGGTACATTTTAGGGCTTGCACCCGGCTGAAACTACTTATCTAAGTAAGATAAATAGTAGTTAAGGAAGCAATCGTAAAAGGAGTTTAGATGAATTAAAAGGTTGAGAATTATTACCAAGCAAGATACAATATTACAATAAATAGATATAAGAAAGGATTGGGTCTTCGATATCCTCTCTCACACAGCGAAACACAACTAAGGCGTTGTTTAACGTCGGCTGGCCCATTCGAGCCGAAGCATGGCTCTCCAAAACGTAGTCTAAGATATTAAGATTCGGTATTAATAGTCTTTAGTCAAAGCTAATCAATCCTTTAATAACATTTTGCTACCCACAATGAATCTTAAATTAAACTATAACAAACCAGGTTAATCTGATCAGGTAACCGCTACACTTGTATAGTTTCCTCTGCGCTAACTAGATATAAAAGCTTTCTCATGTATCTTTTACGCTTCGCCTAACTTGATCGATCACGCAGTGAAAACTCGTGAATTATATTCATGAACCATACAAACTAAGTGGTAGTAAAGTAATTTAAGAAAAAAAAGCAAATACTACAGGTCCTTTTTTTAATTTGGGTATTTCTGCAAATAAGCGGGTGTTCATATGATGGTAAGCGATCGGTGCCTTACCTGGACTAGTGTCCAGGTCAAACTAACGTCAAAGGAGTAACAAGAACGTTACCGGCCTTTTGTGGGTTGCTGGAGATTTAAAAATTGGAGATTGGGTAGGGCCTCCAGTGACTTCACTTTATCAACTTTAAGATGTTTCCTTGTCTGACAGAGTGAAATGAAATGAAATAAGTTGATCTCAAGATAATTACTACTAAAAATTTTTTCTTATTCGTTTATCATTCTGATAATATGCTAAAGTTATCCACCCTTTAGAAAAGTAAATTGCATGAAGAACATAATTTGTCACCATATTCCCAAGGGATCGGAAACACAATGGGTCGTCAAATGTCACGATTTTGGCATAAAGGACATTGTTCTGGATATAGTAAAAATATATTGAATGGGTTCACATAATACAGGCTGAAAAACGCTTTCATTTGTTGCTTATTGAAATCGAAAACCATCGTATTTGGTAAAACGTTATATTATTTAAAATTTATTTAAATAATGTATAAGTAATAAAACATGACTTTAAAAAAAAGAACTAAGGAGTTTATTTTGGTCTTCTCAGTACGAATATGCACAGTTTTTGAACGGTCTCTACAAGCAACGCTGAGAGACGGTGTACCGAAAATTCACTTTCAGCGTTTAAAAAGCGCTTGCGTATGGATTATTTAATTTGAATGCTTTGTATTTCTTACTTGACTTGACTTCGACTTTGGTAATGAACAAAATCAAATATAACTTTCATAGATTAACAGCAAGTTCAGTAGTCTCCGTCAAATAAATTAGAACTATAATTATTTATTATTAATAATATATAACAATTTCCCGAGATCAGTATTTTTTTATCATAACTTTCTTGAGATACGAACATTTCAACTTAATTATTGTGTTTACGTGAGATCGCGCAACATCGCGCAACTGTTGGTTGCGTATTGTGTATCATCAAGCAGCTTATCGCTACGAAGGACTTCGCGGGGCGCCCTTCACCCCCGGGCCTTGAAAGAGACAGTTGCGATTTTTCATCTTTGTCTAACGCCGTGACTCAGACACACCGCGACCACAGCGCAGCGCGTGTACGCAAATAATATACCTGTTATACATTGCTATAGAGATTGTTATGTGACACAATTATTAAGACTGGTGCAATTATCTACGCTGTGAGCTCGCTCGTTTGTTGTTATACTTACTATATTCGGAAAGTGAGGACGATCTAAAGTGAAGCGTGAGTGATACTGCTTGTGTAAACATAACGCAATTGAAATTCTCCCGGCACACATTTACATTCAAGTACTCGAAATGGATAAGTCACTCTCAGAATCGAACTTAGCTGACCCAAGCTCAGATGTCATTACTCCACCCAATTTTGTTTCAATTCGAGGCAAAAGAAGGCGAGAAGACGACTTAGATGTGATTAAAGAAGACTTGATAAATACGATGAAAAAAATGTTGCTAGCTCAAGAAAACGAACTTAAAAGAATAACTCCAACTCTCTTAGAAATAAAACAGACTAACTCGAATATAGAGAGTGCTGTGGCTAGTCTCACTGCGCAGAATGAAGACTTCAGGAAAAAAATAGAACAAATGGAAAGTGAGGCGAAAAAGGACAAAGAGTATATTAGCTTATTGGAAGAAAAAATCGAAGATCTACAAAGAACTACTCGAAAGTCTAATATCGAATTGAAAAATGTACCGAAACAAATTAAGGAAAATAAAGAGGACCTTACTAATATGGTATTATGCCTGTCCAAAAATATAAACTGTGAAGTTTCCAAGTCTGATATAAAAGATATATATAGAATAAAGGGAAATAAACAGAAGTCAATAAACACTCCAATAATAATAGAATTTTCATCAACTATTTTGAAAGCTGAATTTATTAAAATGTGTAAGGCTCATAATTTTAATCACAAAATAAAGCTATGTGCGAAACATCTGGGTTTGAAGACCAATGAAGACACCCCCATCTTTGTCTCGGAGCAGCTTACATCTAAAGGAGCTCGCCTGCACTTCCTGGCTAGAGATCTCGTAAAGGCTAAAAGATATAAGTATTGTTGGACGGCTTACGGGAAGGTTTATGTTAAAAAGGATGACGAATCTCCCACCACCGTTATTACATCTGAATATCAAATACAAGGCATGATGCAAAAATTTGACTACAGGTATTATATACATATTATTTACAGATGTACTTATTACTCATACTAAATTGTTTACAAGAGAATGTCTCCGCGAAAACTGTTCTAACCCTTAATTATAGAATATTGAAACTAACTTTTTTGATTAATAATATTATTGTATTGGTTGTCTTTATGTTTCTTCACACTCCACACATACACAATACATTCACCTCATATCTGGTCACACACCAATACTCACACTATGTTTGTAACAAGGTAAGTTTAAATACAGTAAAGGATATAAAATTACATTATAATAGGAAGTTAATTAACAATTCAGACCTTTCTTATAGTGGGAAATTAAAGTTTTTTGTTGTATATTTAATCCACGTACTTCAAAAACTTTATGTAAACTGTCGCTCTAGATGGTTGTCGCCTTCTGCACTTTATATGACTCATAACAATGGATAGTATACATACAATGATGCAAGAAATAGACGATATTAGTATTGCACAATGTAGTGAGTTTCATTTTGAAGACTTTTTGAAACATATTGTTGTACGAAACACAGATTTCACAATCGTCTCACAAAACATCAGAAGTATATATAGCAATCTAGATGACTTCCAAATTACTTTAAATCAGTTTAAATTTAGTATCGATCTAATTATTCTAACGGAGTGTAGATTAGATCCCAACAAACCTATTCCTACATTGAGTAATTACATGTCGTATTCTACCAGTAACCATATAAATCGCTGTGATGGGGTTGTAGTTTATATTAAAAACACGCATAAAGCAAGTGTAAAAGAGATATTTTTAACTCATGCATCTTGCCTCCAAGTAATCATGCCAAACCTCGTAGTCCTTGGAATCTATCGCTCTCCCTCACACAACAATGCTGATAACTTCATAACATCACTCAATATTCACCTTGATTCCATAAAATCACACGGCAATGTAGTTATAACAGGCGACATAAATATAAATATTATTAGCAAAACAAATGAACAATCAAATGAGCGTACAAATCGAAACTCATATCTTAACATGCTGGCTATGCAAGGTTACTTACCTGGACATTCGTTACCAACTCGAGGTGAAAATTGCTTAGATCACTTCGTCTTAAAGATGGATAAAATAAAGAAAACTGCAGCTATTTTTGTTCTGGACACAACGATAACTGACCATTTCATGATCTTTTTAAAATTATCAAATAATATTATACCTCAAAATTGCTCAAAGATCAAATCACTCATTGATATGGAGGGAGCTCTGACTTCCCTAAAAGAAAGTCAAGTCATTGAATTACTTTCTATTCACGACCCATTGTTATTAACTAATACCCTTACAGATAAACTTCAATACTGTCTTTTACAGAACACTATCACTAAAATAGTCCCACGGAATTGTCGTATAATTAAGCCGTGGATTACTTTGGGAGTACTACGTTGTATCTATAACAGAAATAACATGCAGAGGAAATTACGCCTTGATCCAAACAATGTAACTTTAAAAATCACGTATAAGAGGTACAAAAACCACTGTAATAACATAATTAAGAAACTGAAAAGAAAATACAATAAAGAACTAATAGAAAATGCAAATAAAAATACAAAGAAGACATGGAATGCTATAAATAATATTACAAATCGTAAACCAATTAAAACTACCAATCTAGAACTACTAAGTATTAAACAAAACCCACTTGAATCTGTAAATAAGGTTAATGAGTACTTTTCAAATGTTGGTAAAACTCTAGCTCAAGAGATATTAGATAAAAATCCACTACAAAGTTGCACCGAACAGGGTAATGCACAACTGTCATCATTCGTATTATTAGAGACTGACCAAAGAGAGGTGTACAGTGTGTTAATGAGCCTTAAATCAGAAAGTGCCCCTGGTTGGGACAATATATCTACTAAATTCCTTAAATATGCTCATGAAATAATTGTGCCTATAATCACACATCTTGTAAACCTATGCTTCACTAAGGGCATTTTTCCAGCTTCATTAAAAAAAGCTATTATCACACCTGTGTTCAAGAGTGGTAACAGAGACGACGTTAGTAATTATAGACCTATCTCGGTTCTACCAGCTATGTCAAAAATTTTGGAAAAAACTGTTAAATACCCAACTTATCAACTACACTACTAAATTTAATATTTTATCACGATCTCAATACGGCTTTAGGCATGGTTTATCAACGGAGGATGCAATTTTAGCACTGTCCTCTTATATTGCTGATCAAGTGGATTCAGGAAAACGATGTCTAGCTGTTTTCCTGGATCTAAAAAAAGCTTTTGATACCGTGTCTGTTCCCATTCTTGTAAATAGCTTACAAAATATTGGCATAAGAGGAATCCCATTGAAATTACTAATAGACTACCTTCAGGGTCGAAAGCAATGTGTTAAGGTAGGAAATTATGTCAGTGGTGAGTTGGATGTGAGTTTTGGTGTTCCGCAGGGCAGCGTGTTAGGCCCAACCCTCTTTCTGGTCTACATTAATAGCCTTTGTGACATGAAACTTGAGGGTGGGCGCCTACTATCATATGCTGATGACACAGCAGTTATTTTCTCAAATGATACATGGGAATCTACATATCAGTCTGCTGAAATGGGTCTCGAAAAAATTGCAATATGGTTAAACTCACATTCACTCACTCTAAACACTGATAAAACAAAATATATTGCTTTTACAAAATACAACAATACTCAACCGGGACCTAATTATTTCCTAAAGATTCATAGTTGTAATAATATTTTCAGCAAAGATTGTTCCTGTCCTAAAATCACAAAAGTATCGAACATTAAATATCTGGGAGTTATAGTGGATCAAAGACTATCATGGCACTTTCACATAGAAGCAATTACCTCTCGTATTAGAAAACTAATCTGGCTCTTTAAGAAATTAAGACATTTAACCACTAGTTCTCTTCTAAATCAAATATATATTTCACTCGCTCAGTCAATACTGATGTACTGTTTACCTGTTTGGGGAGGTTGTACAAAAACAAAATTTCTTGAACTAGAGAGAGCACAAAGATCTCTGGTGAAAGTCATGTATTTTAAGCCATACAGATATCCTACGGAAGATCTTTATTCACTGAGCGGTCTTCTCAGCGTTAGGAAATTATACATACTTCACATTATTCTAAAACTCCATAAAACACTTACCTTTAACCCAGATCATAACAAAAAAAGAAGAAAATACCTTGTTGCAACTTTAGCCCCTGTTAAAACAGCATTCGCAAAGAGACAGTACACTAGACAATCCGCTGAACTCTATAATAAATTAAATAAAATACTAAATATATTTCCTAAAACTTATCATGAATGTAAAAAATCTATTATATGCTGGCTGAAAACAAAAACGTATGATGACATAGAAAACTTTCTTAAAACTGTTACTTAGACCATATATATTATAAAAGAAGAACCTAAATACAACATACATGCACATACAGATAACATACATTTATTCATACAGACACACCCACACACACACGCTCACACACACACACCACACACACACTTACCCACACTCCCTACTTTACACTTATTTATAAGTTTCTAATTATTACTTATAAAAAAGGTTTAAATGTATAACGCACCTACTACTTACTGTTTTTTTTCCTAGTTATGAAGAGCGGGGTCTCCTAGCACAGGTAATTTTATTACTTAAAAGGGGACCCCTATGTAAGTTGTCATTGTAGTAGATATAAGTTATTGAAATAAAATTTTTTGTATTTTGTATTTTTGTATCGCGCAATTCTGCTCATGAATATCAACCCTTTTTTTGTGAGGAGAAAATCATCAAATGACTTCTCCCGCACAGGATCGGGTGGGAGGGAGTGTCAGACTCTTACGGACTTAAAACCTCCCCGTTCCTTTTCCTGCTCTAGGCCGAGACCGTTGTGACACATTGCGCTTATCCCGCAACCCCTGCTAAACAACAGCCCTACAGGGCCCCGTCTGTGGTG